ACTATTTGTCATCATCATGTGTGCTAAGCCTTTCTGATTTTGTTTCCTTTATAGTTCAATGTTACTTAGCTCAGAGAAACAAGCAATGTGCCTCTATACAAGTCGCAAGCCTAAATCCAATGTATCTATTTCTCTGAAGCAGTTAACCTATCTTCTTGCATTTCTTCCACCTCTTCTGCTAACAACCTCACACAATCGGCAAGGCAATGTGTCAAGGCTCATGGCTCGGGTTTTTCCATAGTTTCCCAGCACACCACACCTTCTCCATGCATGGTATTCCGCATAGGCAACTGGGTAGTTAGCAACTACCTTCACGTACGAGGCCAACTCTTCCAATGACTTGAACTTTCTACCATCTATGATTGAATGTGGAGGAACGAAATCCATGACATTTGGTGCACCAAAATAGATTGGAACTGCACCAGAGTCCAAGGCATAGAATAACTTCTCTGTTACATAACTCTCAGTAAAAGTGTTCTCAATGGCAAGAACAAACTTGTAGTGAGACATGGCACAATGTAAATGATCCCACCATTTTGGGGTAACATTGGCATCGTTTGCACATTCGGGATAAAGAGAAAGAGCAGCGTCTAGACCACCAACATTATTTAGGCACTTGCCAAATGAATGATGCGGCAATAAGCTCAGGAGCTTCTTGGCAAGTTCATTCCTTTGAGAAAGACACCGTGATGAAGACCAATAAACCAGTATATCCTACAAATGATAAATGAGGTTATGTTGCTATGGATCACTCTTTTGTTATCTGTCATTTAATAATATATTCTTGATCAATTACTTACTCTGTTTTTATCACTGGAGACGTGGTAGTTTCGACCACTGTGAAAGAGTGCACCAGCATAGGTTGATTGTACATCATCTTCAGCATGATAACTAATATATATATCCTCTTGACCTGATCTTCTTCTGCCAGCTTCAAGATCCATATATACACGAAGTGGTTCTCCCGTGCGTCTCTGAAATAAAAAATAAACCGTAACAAAGTAAGAAATATGCAATATCAAAGTATATGCTACCTCAGCCAAAACAATCCAGAAAACCATGCAAGACAACAGCGCCTGAGAAGCATTTGAGCAAGAAACGGTATACAACAGAAATGGTTTCCTCGTGTGATTTTGAACTGCTTAAACAAGTGCTTATTAAAATCTTCCAAAAAGATAATTGTATCAAGCTAAGAACTCAGAACAGATAGTTGAAACTTTAAGCATGTTTAAACCAGATTTTAAACACCTAAAGGCTCAAAGGAATACATGACTTCATTTATATATGGCAGTGTAGATAATTAACCCATTCATACCATGATACCACCAAATAAATTATGCCTGGTTTCGTGTATATTATGATTTGTTTATACTTTGTATATTGAGCGGAAGGATCTCGTTTTATGAATTAGAATACTTTTAAAACAACTCAATCAAAAGGCATTTTAGTTGTTGACTTACTTAAATCCCATCACTGAGAACAGAACAATAGAACTATAAGTTAAAACCAAGCTCAGTTAAAAATATCGAAGAAAAATGGACCCAGCCACAGCCCAAATTAATAAAAGGGAAATATAATCACCAAAATAATTTTCCATCAACTATAGCTGCAGTTAGTTAAGTTGTACAAGTAATCAAGAAGAACTTCTCCTTGCTATCATTAACCCCTGAATGGTAGAGATACAAAGGAACAAAAATGAAAATGTAGCCGTTTTGCATACAAGAAAAGGAGCTATTTTGCTATTATTAGCGGCTTTTACCTCTATCCAACATTCCCAAATAGAATGCATTCCAACACATAGCAATCAATTAA